AGAGGAATAAGAAAGGAAGGAGAGAGAGGGGAAGAAGAGACAAAGGAGAGAGAGTGGGAGAGAGAAAAAAGAGAGAGAAGGAAGAAAGGAGAAGAGAGAGAAAGAGAAATGAGAGAAGAGAGTGAAGGAGAGAGATGAGGGAGGGAAGGAGAGAAAGAAAGAAGGGAGAAGGGAGAGAAGAAGGGAGAGCAGGAGAAAAAAGGGAGAGGGAAGGAGGAGAAAGAAAGGAGGGGAAAAAAGAAAGGGAGTGGGAAAGAGAAGACAGAAAAGGGAAGGAGAAAAAGAGGAAAGAGGAGAGAGAGGTAGAAGAGACAGAAAGAAACTAGGGAAAGACTATTGTTCCTCCATCATCTGTATCAGTAAAATTCGTCAGTAAATCGAAATTTCTAATATTGCTCTAGTCAAAACAAAACAAAACAAAACAAAACAGTCATTGCACTAAGATCTTCAGAGGATCTCACCTGCAGTGTTACTTAGGAATGATGCTCCTCATGCCTCCAATTTCACTAAAATCCCTCCCCAATCATCAATCACACAAGGGTAGAATATTCTCCCAAATTTAATTCTAAAAATCGATTAACAAAAACAAGAAAAAATTAAAGGAAAAAACCCAGAAATATTGATATTGAACAGTTCCTTTCATGTACAGGATGTTCTACTTGGGTACCTGAGCTATCAGGAGAAGTCAACTGATGCCTGATTAAAACAAAACTTATGGAGTCCCAAGAGACTGTATACCAACTGCAAACCATTTTGGGCCCCCCATCACCTGAGAAAGGCCTAAAACCTGGATTGGCCAATCAGGAGAAAGACATTTTGGCCCACTCTGAGCTTAACCTACCATAATGCTTTGCATGCTCTGGCATAACAGACATGCTTTCCTTTGCTCTCTGAGTGAACCCAAAATGCCCCTTCCTGTGTCAGCAACTACAAGGCCAGATGAAGCTGCCCAGTTTATTTATGACTGCCAAGGAAAAGGCACCTTGAACTGGACACTATCTTGAGTAATGGGACTTTTCTTACATTTTCTTATATTATATTATGTCATGTTAATGATAAAAGAAACACAGACATCCTGGATCTATAATTTCAATGGACACCTTGACATTTCCTTATCTTATTGTATTTATAACCTATTCCATTAAGAAATTCCTTTCTCACACTATGGTTAAACACATATGGAGATTATAATTTTGGGCTGACACAGGCATCCTGAGTTGGAATTGCTCTAAGTATATAAAGAGTCTCCTTCAGCTTGTTTACCTCTGAGTTCAGAATTATTTTCTGACTCCATCCCACATGATTCTCTGGCTTAATGAGGATAAATAAGCATATTATAGCACATGTACAGCCTGACTGTTCCTTGTTTGAACCTTTGGTAAGGTGAACCCCATTCTGTTTGTTCTTGAACAAACCTTTGGTTAAGGAGGAAACTGATTCTATTTGTTTCTTTGGACCAAATCTTTGGAAAATGGTTGACACAATAGAACAGCATCAATGGTTCAAGAGAGAAGTGAAATCTATGAGAAGTTAAGTATAAACAAATGTCGGTATACATAGAGATTAAAATTGAAATAAAGCAGTCAGTGAACACATTAGAAACAACCAAATCAATGATGGTGTTTCTACAAACACCTGAAAGAGAAGATAAGAGAATTGAAATAAAAAAGAGAGAGAGATTAAAGTTGAAGAAAATCACACAGAAGAGAAGCAAAAGGCAATATTAAAAAAAACCCAAACAACCCAACCCTAGGGTCTTTTGAAAGACCATTGACCTCAAGTACAGGATGTACAAAGATGATTTAAAGACTGTAGGTGTCCCCAGAAGAATCTGATGAGTAAAAAAAAGCCAGAATCCCATAACATAAAAACCCCAGGATTTCTGAGTATGCAAGAATCTGCAGGTCACTACAGGAAAAAAAATTTTCTGCTTCAAATTCCAAGGTAAATTAGTAGCTAAATTTAACAATTCCAATGACAAACAACAAATTCTCTAAATAGCCTGAAGAAAGAATTTCAAAATAATTAAAGGAAATTCAAATATTACAATACTAGTCTGCATACCATATAAACCACAGAAGGAAATGTAATATTATTTCCCCCAAAATGATAAGGCTCCAGATACAACCTAAAATGAGATATCCTGCATACCTGAGCTCAATCATCAATGGAAAAAATATGGATATTAAACAAAGGCAAGGAATTTGAGGTATTAAAACAGGAGTGAAAAGAATAATGTAAAATAACTGCAAATACTCCCCACAAAAGAAATGAGAGATAGGTTCAATTTCCAGGGAAAGAAAAAATAAGTAACGAAATAAATTACCCAATGTCTATGTTATTATTTTTTTTATAAAGAAAGAGAAAAATCTTACCTGGGTTAAAAAAATTAAACATGTTTATTAAGAGAAACAAAAATTTGACAAGAAAGTAGAATTTAAAGAAATGAGAGAAGAGAATTTGGAGGAAGGTGCAGAACAGAAGAACCATTATCTAAACATTTCAATCCCTTCACCCTGTGAATCAATACATTTTGTGGTGCAAAAGTACAGGGTGGGAGAATGCACAAACCAAGAGAGAAGAGAATCAGTCCATGGGTGAAGAGCAAAAGATTGATAACTTCTAGACCACATATGACATTGATTGACAGCTCATCACGAAGAGTGCCTGTAGGAAATAGGAAAGGAGACAGAAGGGAGAGATTGATACTGGAAGAATGAAAGAGAGGCCTCAGCACAATGGGGGAGGCATGCCACTGAAGAACTCTCCTTGGAGATGAAGTGGATGTCTTTACTGGAAGACAGGGACCTTATGATGGGTTTAATTTGAGGGGAGTTGGTACACTAGAGGGACAGTGTTGTCTCCTTGGATATCATCCTCCATCAAAAGGAGGGAAATGGCAAGTAAGCACCCAGAAGTAGAGAAAGGAGAGTCATGGGAAAGAGAAATATCATGGGAAGGGCAAGGGTTAGAATAAGATAACGTGACTGGAGACACAAGGTAATTTCTACTAATGGGCACTACTTTTGTCACCATTACTGCCCTCATGAACTGATACTTGCAGGAGTATGGTACAACCGTGAGAAGGGAAGATGAGGCAAGATCTGTAAAGACAATTAACACAGAAACTCCTTTGAAGAGGGAGCTCATATTTCCTAGTTAAGAAGCTTTAGCCCAGGAGGAACAGAAAGAGATTAAGGAAGGAACAGATAAGGACCTAGAAGAACATGAATCAGAGAATAAAAGTTCAGGATGGACTGGAAGGGAGAGATTAAGATGATAATTAAGCAAAATTCTTAGAAAAAGGCCCATATAAAAAGACTGAGAAAAGGAACGGATGAGGATCGGAGAAGGGGAGGGTTTTAAACAAACCCTTTAACTGAGGAAGAAGAATAGAAAAAAGTGGGGAAACAGAGATAATGAAATAAATAAAAGGAAATCAATAATCTTGGTAAAAAACAATCTCAAACTAGAGAAAGGATTAACATTCATGATGAAGGGGGAGGGAAGTGGCATTGGGAGAACAGCATTGCTTAAAAGTAATTTGAGCAAATTAGTGTTCCTAAAGATAGAACGGAGGAACCTCTCCAAAAGAGAAAAAAAAAAGTTAAGGCAACAGGTCAACAAGCATTTTTTTTTAACAAGCATTTATTTTGTGCCAGGAACCTTGATAAACATTGGGGATACAAAAACAAACAAAAATATAGTCTGTGTTCTGAAGATACTTAACATGCTAATGGATGAAGATAACATATAAAAGGAACCGCAAAAGTAGGTTGAGGTGGGGAAATGTACCTAGTCCTGGGCATTGGCAAAGTCCAGGGTATTAAGGATGATTGATCTGGACATTTCCCCAACATGGATAAGTAATGCTGGAGAGACAAATGGATGAAAATAAAAGCCAAATCTTCATAACTTTCAATGTAAATGGATTAGTGGATGAAAAAACCAAAAAAAAATTCTTAGTAGAAACACATCTAAAAATCAAAGTCATACATAGTCATACATAGAATAAAAATGAGAGACTGGTACAAAACTGACTGTGCATCTAGGTGAATCCCCCAAAGCAGGAGTGGCAATTATGCTACCAGATAAAGGAAACACATGAGCTCTCACAATTTCTATAGAAATAAACAAGACAAAAAACTCTAACATCTAGATTAAACTTACATGTACCAAATGGTATAGCATATAAATTCATAAAGAAAAAATTAACTGAATTGAAAAAATATAGAAATAGCATTTGTACTGCACTTGAAGATTTGCAAAGAACTTTACACAGATCATCAGTCAGGCACTTACAAGAGGCCAGGCACTGTGCTAAGCAGTTGGGACACAAAAAGAGGCCAAAGACAATCCCTACCCTCTAGGAGCTCACAATTGAATGATGAGACATTATGTCAACAGATTTCGCAACAACCCAGCAAGGTTCGTGCTACAACAGGTAAGAGCCCAGACTGTTCCTCACCCAGAATCTAAGAGAAAGATAAAAGGAAAATGTGCAACTCTCAGAGATTTCAGAACCACAAAATGCCTAAAATATCCACCTGCATACACTCAGTATTTTTATAGATAAAATTACAAAATATTTCTGAAAAAAAAACCCAGAAAAACAATATCTGAGCTGGGGAATAACTTAGTGATCATAGCTGGGTCAGAGCAATTATAATAAAGATAAAAATTTGACTGAGAGTTAATGTAGAAATTTAGTGTTATACCAGTGAAACTAATACAAGAATACTTTACAGAGCTAAACAAAAGACAAAATAGTGAAGAACAAAAAGTCTAGGATTTCAAGGGAACTAATGAAAAAATGGTAGGAATGAAGGTGGGATGGCACTTCTGGACCCTAAACTTTATTATAAAGTAGCCATCATTGAAACTATTTTCTATTGGTTAAAAACAAAGAAAATTAGATCAATGGAATAGGCTAGACAAGGAAGAATCCAACATAACTGAATTCGATGCCCCAGTTTTCATTAAATTCCAACATAACTTACCTAGGAAAGAACTCCCTATTTGACCCCTGTAATGATATACACACTCTGTTTCGCTGGAGGCATCACTTTCAGTGCCCATCTCCGGGTCAGTACGACTGGGGAATGGTCTCTTTTTCTCAGACTTTACTTAAGTAAGTCAATGTCCATTGTTTTTCGGTAGCTGCACATTACAAAAGTCTAACTCTCCTATGGACAACAGGTGATCAAAGTGCCTAGTGCTGAAAGGGTCCCTCCATTCTCTGGAGCTATTTTGTAACCACACAAGTTGTCCAACCTCTCAACGACTTGGTAAAGGTTAGCTTTCCATCAGTCGCTAACTGGAGTCCCTAGAATGCCAAAGTTTCTCAACAGAACTGCCTCTTCCTCTAAGGGCCTGGATCGTCACACCCCTGGTTTCGGTCACAGGTCTTCGGAAGTTGTATAAGTTGGGGCGAGTTGGGCGCATCTCACATCATGCACGGAGTGGGAGTGGTCGCGCCACCCCCTTCTTTTGGGGAGTCCAAACCCAAGTCCCGAGGCGGGCGTGGCTCTCGAGGGGTGCGCTAGTCAGTTGGCAGCATCCTCTGCGGTGGAGCTGTGGGCACCGAGTGAACATGACCCGGCCCCTCCCCGTCTTTGTGCTGGGGTCTCGAAGTGCGGGGCTGCAGCGTGCGGTCTAGACACTGCTCAGGGACAGTCAGGAGTCCTGGACCTTCAGTCCCGGCCCAGGCCAGCCTGGTCAGGGCGCTTTGGGTACCCGCGGACAAGCCCGGGACCGATCTCGGGGCTTCTTGCTCTCACCTGGGCGGCGAGGCTCCGCACACCCTCCGAAGGCTCCGGTGCCAGAGCGCGGCGGCCGCCTCCGCCTCCGCCCCCAGCCCGAAACCCCGGGCAGCCTTCTTGCCACTGCTCTCGGGGCCCACCCCGACCCCTGCTGAGCCTTACGCCAGTGACGTCACCGCGTCTTCTCCGCCCAGGAGGGTCCTCCCCCTGCTCACGAGGAGGCCGTGGCGGCCAGGAAAGCGGCAGCAGCTGCAGCAGCGGCGGCGGCAGTCCGGACCAGCGGCGGTGGCAGGGGGCAGTGCACCCCAGGCTAGGGAGACAGACTCGCAGTGGTGCGTTCTAGTGCGGTCTGGTCCGAGCAGGGGAAGGTCTCGGAAGCCCTATTGTTCGAGCCGACACCCCTCCAGGGGAGTGGAGGTGGGCTTGGGGCTCCGCTCATGCCCATCCCGGGGTACTTGATATATATGGGAATCAGAAAAAGAGACCCCTCCCCTTTTCCACCCCCGACGCCAGACCCCAGCCAGGCCCCAGGGCCCTGGGCACCCTCGCTTTCCTCCGGATTCCGGGATTTCAGGATTCCAGGATTCAAGATCTACCCCCTCAGCTCTGTTACAAGGCTGGAGGAGGGGGTCTTGCTCCTCAAACCCTGCCTTACCCGGGTCCCTGGCCCTTCCCTGTCTTCGATTCTTTCCCAGTTCTCAACTGCGGGACCAGAATTCAGAGATTCTCTTCTAGCTTCTCACTGATCTTGGACCCTCTTCTAATTCTGGGCTCTCCTGAGGCTCCCTCTCTCCCCAGACCCAGGACCCTGAGCTCCCCCACCCTCAGGTTGTCTTATCCCTTTAGGGATTCTATCTGTCAGCTCCAGACTTCCCCTGGACAATATCCATTCTGCCTGTCCAGCAAGTAGCCTCGATCCCTGCTAGCTCAAGCAGTCAGGTGTCTAGACACTGTACGGAGGTGAAGGATGGAGGAGGGAGTGCAGGGAGAGGTCTGATTCAGAAGAACTCAAGAAACTGTCTGGAATTAGCTCAACAGGGACACCAAAGCCCCTTCTGCCACTAGGGTCTTCAAGCGGGGAATTTGGGGTGGAAAGGAGAACAAAATGTAGAGTATTGTTTATTTTCAGAATTTCTTAGTTGCCAAACCTGACCATAACTGTACTCTTATCTTCTGGCTTGAGTGTCTCTCCTGAGGAAGGCAGGACCAGGGCTCTCACCCAACTTAAGACCTTCCCCTCCATAGGTGTTTGTGGGGATGGCCAACCTCCTTTCTTGCAGGGCAAAAGAAAGAACCCCTTCCTCTCAAGGATCATTCTCCTTCCGCAGCTCATCCTGCTGAGTATTCAGACCTGGCCCAAGAGTGGAGCATGGAACAAGAGGGAATAGCCCCAGTGTCCTGGAGCAAGCCATCCCAGGTAAGTGTAATCCGTCCACAGATTTGACAAACATCTGCAACCGTGAACATTTCCACTGACATAGAACAGCAAAAGAAGTTTGTATCTGAATCAATCAATCACTATTATGTAGAAATTATTTCTTTTAAAATATATTAAATTTAATACAGTACTAACAACATTGCCATGCCTGTCATTGCCCCTTCTAAACTTGTATTTAATTTCTTCTCTGTATTTTATTCCTTTTTTTTTTTTTGCATCTCTAGCACTCTAGAGAAATTTTTTGTCTTCCTCCACTTTTTAAAGCTCTCTCCTAGAAATTAATTGCAGTCAAACACAACTTCACACATTAGTCTTGTCTGGACATGCTCTGACCAGAGTGCTGAAGTCCCAGCTGTTGCAATCACTGTGGGAATTGTCCTCTTGGTTCTGCTCACTTCACTCTGCCTCAATTCATGCAAGGTTTTCTAGGTCTCTCTGAATCTCTCCTATTCCTATTTTCTTTTTAGGGTACAATAATATTCCATTTCATTCACTGAGCATATTTTATTCAGCTATTAGGGCAGGTAGGTGGCCCAGTGGATAGAATGCTGGGCCTGGAGTCAGGAAGGCTCATCTACATTCTAGCTGTGTGACTCTGGGCAAGTCACTTAACCTTTGTTTGCCTCAATTTTCTTACTATAAAAATGGGGATAATAGTAGAACCTACTTCCCAGGTTGTTTTGAGGGATCAAATTATGTAATATTTATAAAGTGCTTAGCACAGTGCCTGGCATACAATCCATGCTATATAAATGTTTATTATCTTCTCTCTCCTCTTTTCCTTCCCCTATTCACCTTTCGATGGGATCTGACGTGGTTTCCAGTTTTTGATACAGCCAAAAGAGCTGTTACGGATATTTGGGCATGTGTGGGTACTTTCCCCCTCTCTGATCTCATTGGGTCAGCAAACATTTATTCATCCCCTATTAAGTTGGATTGAGTTTCAAATCACAGCATCTGAAAGGTGTCAGGCACTCCAGCAGTCCTAAAAGATATCCAAGGAGGGGAGCCCTCCTTGTCCTGTGGCAGCTCATTTGGATCTTGGACAGCTGTGTTTGAAGGAAATTTTTCTTCCAATCAAACTTAAATTTGCCTCTTTCCAATCCCCTCCTCCCCTTGTGCCTGGTTTTGTGTTCTTCTGTGATGACTAAAAAACCGGAGAGACAAAGTTTCTGGGCAATTAACAATCAATTTATTAATCATGCTAGCTAATAAGCTGGTGGTCAGTGATTTCTCTTGGAAAATCAAAGACACCCAGTGGAGATGCTGAATGCTCCTGACAGAAGAAATCAACCCTGATTGGTGGACATTTAATGAGGAGGTGGGCTAGAAATATTCAGCTCCTTCTGCTGAGAATTCAGCCACCTCCAGCACTCTGGACAGGGGAATCCATTTCCACCCAGACCACTATGGTTGGTTTTCTCCTTCCTGAGCTGGGTCACCCTAAATTCTAATGGGGAGGCATAAGGACAGGGCTGTTCTCTTGGGGCAAGAACTCACCAAGACTGTATTCTGTTCACACTCCCTCTTACCCTGGTTGGGTGGGATCTGGCCCAAGATTGAGGAATAAGTTTCTGAAGGTTAGGAGTCATCTCATCAATCAGCCATATCCTTCAGACACTGACTGACCTGCTACAGAGCCTGAGCCCTAAATGAGGAAATAAAGGAGAAAAACCCTGCATTCAAATTTAGTAATTGGTAGTTAATATAATAGCAAAACAATAATTTCTTTTACTTGGGTCTTCTTGGGAAGAATTTGGGGGAAGGGGAAGAAGCCCTAGGGGGACCTTGTTAATTGCCAAGACTGAGCCCAACTACTGCATCTCCTATTTTGCTTTGAGCCACTCCTCTGAGAAGAGAAGTGCTTTCAACTTCCTTTGTAGTTTGCTCTTTGAAGGTCCTTGTCTTTTTTTTCCTTTCAATTAATTAATTAATTAATTAATTAACTTTTTAGTTTTCAACACTCACTTCCACAAGATTTTGAGTTCCAAATTTTCTCTCCATCTCTCCTCTCCCCTCACCCCAAGATGGCATTCATTCTGAATACTCTTTCCCCCAATCTGTCCTCCCTTCTATCTCCCCCCTACTCCCTGCTTCTCTTATCCCTTCCCCTTCAATTTTCCTGTAAGGCAGGATAGATTTCTATACCCCTCTGCCTGTATATCTTATTTCCAAGTTGCATGTAAAAACAATTTTTAACATTTGTTTTTAAATCTTTGAATTCCATATTCTCTCCCTTCCTCCTTCCCTGCCCACCCTCATTGAGAAGGCAAGCAATTCACTATAGGTTATACATGTGTAGTCATGCAAAACTTTCCATAATAGTCATGTTGTGAAAGACTAGCTATATTTCTCTCCATCCTATCTTGCCCACCCCATTTTTTTCTATTCTCTCCTTTGACCCTCATCCCTCCATAAAAGTGTTTTCTTCTGATTACCCCCTCCCCCAATCTGCCCTTCCTTCTATCATCCCCCCCCCATCTCTTTTCCCTTCCCCTTCTATTTTCCTGTAGTTACCCTATAGGATAGATTTCCATACCCAAATGAGAATAAGATTCACTCATTCCCTCTCACCTTCCCTCATTTCCCCTCTACTGTAAAAGCCTTTTCTTGTCTGTTTCATTCATTCATTCAATTCATTCATTTATTCATTTATTTATTTATTTATTTTTGGCTGGTCAATGGTGTTAAGTGACTTGCCCAGGGTCACACAGCTCATAAGTGTTATGTGTCTAAGGCCAGATTTGAACTCAGGTCCTCCTGAATCCAGGGTCAGTGCTCTGTGCACTGCACCACCTAGCTGTCCCTTCTCTTGTCTGTTTTATGTGAGATAATTTACTCCATTCTACCTCTCCCTTTCTCCTCCCAGTACAATCTTCTCTTACCCCTTAATTTCGTTTTTTAGATATCATCCCTTCATATTCAACTCACCCTGTGTCCTCTGTGTGTGTGTGTGTGTGTATATACATATATATATATATATGTATGTATACACACACACACACACACACACACATATATATATACATATATATGCATATATATACATACATATTAGGGTAGGAACATATATATGTGTATATATATACACATATATATGTTCCTACCCTAATGCTGAGAAAGGTCTCATGAGTTACAAATATCATCTTTCTGTGCAGTAATGTAAGCAGTTCAACTTCAATAAATCCCTTAAGATTTCTCTTTCTTGTTTACCTTTTCATGTTTCTCTTGAAATCTTGTATTTGAGAATCAATTTTTTTGTTCAGCTCTTGTCTTTTCATCAAGAATGCTTGAAAATCCTCTATTTCATTGAATATTCATTTTTCCCCCTGAAGGATTATACTCAATTTGGCTGGGTAGGTGGTTCTTGGTTTTAATCCAAGCTCCTTTGACCTCCAGAATATCATATTCCAAGCCCTCTAATCCTTTAATGTAGAAGCTGTGCAAGGAAATCTTGTGTTATCCTGATTGGGTTTCTACAATACGTGAATTGTGTTTTTTTTTTCTGGCTGCTTGTAATATTTTCTCCTCGACCTGGGAACTCTGATAATATTCCTAGGAATTTTCCTTTGGGGATCTCTTTTAGGAGGTGATTGGTGGATTCATTCAATTTCTATTTTACCCTCTGGTTCTAGAATATCAGGGCACTTTTCTTTGATAATTTCTTGAAAGATGATCATGGTTTTCAGGTAGTCCAATAATTTTAAAATTATCTTTC